AATAGCAGAACATAAAAGGGCTTTCTAAAATAGAAAAACAGATTCGATATACGCACTTCACCTTCTAGATCGTAATCATTCTTTTAATGACAAAATTAAAATTCTTCACATTCAAAATAAAAGCCTTAAGCTATCTTTGTTAGAATCTATGGAAATCAACAAATTGAAAAACACAGATATAATTCTGAATAACCAACTTGAGACAAATAGTTCTCCCCTCCTCAACCTATTTCATTAGAGACTATAAATTTGTAAACCCAAGCCAAAAATAGATCACTTGAGAAAGGCACTTAGCCGAAACAGCTGTAGTGATAAGATTTAAAATAAATTTTGTGGAAGTTTGAAAACAAAGTTTTCAGTGTTTTATTGTTACATAAAATGAATTTCCATCAAGTATCGGTCGAATCCATCAAATATTTTATCACCTATTGTTTCTGGAAGACTCGTTCTATGAACTAATTATACTTGCAAATAATGCAAATTATCTGCAGTTCTCGATAATTTTTCATGTTTTTTTAAGACTTAAACTGAAAGGTCATTGAAAATGAGTCACAAAACTAGTTAATTAAAAAATGTATATATAGTGGATAATACGTGAGATTTAAATAGATCTTTTTAATGGTAATGCTGTAAGAAAATATTAAAATTAGAATTATTAAGAAAAATTCTTCAGTCGAAGTCATTCGGTAAACAAAATGTTTTTACAGTGTTCTTTATGGTTATGGTACATCAAGGCACGGCCTATTTATTAGCCCTTGACTTGGACCTCTTAAGCCCAGTCCATTTTTTCACCTACATATTACGAAATAGGTCCATAAGGTCCTAGTCTTCGACGTTTTTGAGACCCAGGCTGCTCCGGTCTCTCTTATCTGAAATAATTAGCAGGGGCTTTAAGTCTGAGCCCTTCCTGCCACTCTGAACATCATATCCTTTAGGTACCTTGTAGTTCCAAAGAAAGACACAAGTCTCTTTTAAGGTATATCTCTCATTTGGTCTTTATGCAACCAAGCCAAATGAGAGATATACCTTAAAAGATGACAAAGAGGACATGTAAGATGTTTCTCCTGCTCATTACAAAGACGACACCGTGATCCATCCGCCAATCCAAGCAGATGAAGATGCTGTCTGAGTCTACAGTGGCCGATAAGCATACTGACCATTAGATAGCATCTTCTACGGTCAATAAGAAGAAGCTGGACTGTTATTTTCTTTTGATGACCCCATTATGTGGACCCTAGTCTATTTTATACTCCCAGAACTGGCCCAAAAGTCCTGGAACCTCCACAGAAGAAGCTCTTTAAGACCGCCCTGACCAGTACTGAAGGGTACTCCACTCACAGGTTCGGATTCCATCCGCAGAGTGAATGAGCCCTGTTGCCAATGCGTTCCTTCCTTTCCACGCCTGTGTAGAGGCCTGCCTGTATGCAGCTTAGAGCTGACTTTGAACGCTCTTAGCGCTGCTTTACTGTCAGAGTAGATATGTAGTAGATTACTGTCAGAGTAGATATAGATGGTCCTGCCTGAGCAAGCCCTATCTAATATCTCCTGAGCACCTACTACGATCGTACTTCTACTTGCTCGACATATTTATTCCAATAGAAGCCGGATTGGCAGTGTCCAGAATAAATATAAAGACATTTTGACTATCGCTATATATTATTAAAGACTATTCTTCGCCTTCCTCTCTAAAAGCAATTCTGCTTGTTCATTGGCGGATTAATACCTCTATGGAAGGTTGTCACTCCAACTTTTTCCGATACTTCTTCTATAATTGGTGACTTATCTCTTGCGATTTTGACTACACGGATCTCCTCCATTCTGCTTATGTGGTTATTCCATTCTTCTTTTTTTCTATTTAGCGTCCATCCATTTATACACTATACGTTACAATTTCTTCTAACGTCTTCACTTCTCTTTCGATCTCTCAGAATATTTTCTGGAATTATTATAAGTCACATTCATAGATGGTTGCTATAATTTTAACAAAATGTTTCTGGTTTTGAGTAAATTTAAACACTTCTAGTCTCTCATGTTTTTGAGCCATTAACATTGTCTTTTGTGAGGAAATATTCTTCCTTTGATAGTAGTCTACATTATTATTATTAAGAATGCATAGTTTATCTCTATATACATGCCCGATATTCCCATCTAAAAGGTCAAGCCCATTTCAAGAAAGATAGTCCCCTAATGTATTTTGAGCAATAAAAGGTATTTGGTGGGATGTAAGGGATAGTGATACGTAACGTATAGCCTCTCCGATCCAAATGTCAATCTCACCTGCCCGTGTAATGGTCTTGATCCTGACTATTCGGTGTATCCTGCCAGAAAACAGACGAGCCTTTGACGTCCGAGAGATTGCCGGTTTAAGCAATCTCCCCACTTACTGGCCAACGGCTTCGGGCGGATGAGTTAAAAACTGCCTTTTATTATATAATAGCTCGCTAGACTATATTAAATATTTCCCATAAATAATTCTAATTAGCCACTTCTGAATAATGTTTAAAGATTGCATGTAATTATTCCGTATTCCATCCCATCTTAAGAGGTCATAGGTAAGTAGAGATTGAATAAGTGTATAATAAAGAATTCGTAAATAAGTTATTCCTAAAAATTGTTTTAAAAGTTTAAATCATAATAGTAGCCCTCTTAATTGAAGTACTACAATATTTGCTTGAGTATTCCATCTTAAATGTTTACCAATTATTATACCTAGATCTCTACAACATATGCATGACAACATCGTAAGAAATCAAATTGTTTTTTTATTGATTAATCAGAGATACAGAAATGGATTGCAAGGAGTAAAAATGTATCCTGAAACAGATATCGGATATGATCACAATCCCGTAGTAGGAAAATTAAAAATAAAGCTTAAGAAAATTAAAAGAAAATCCAAAAATAAAATTAATATAAACAGCTTAAAATAACCTAACGTTAAACTAAAAGTCACATGAAAATGAAATGAGACAATAGCTGATATCACGGCATGATCTAAACAACCGGCCAGTATGGAAGACAAATGGAATTGTATTAAAAAAGCTATTGTAACCACCACCAAGTCTCTAATTGCGTCCCAAAAGTACAAGAAAAAGAATTTGATAATTGACGAAATATTATCAATCATGGAGGACCGCAGATCATTTAAAAACAAAGACCGAACCAAACATAAGCAGGTTAAAAAACAAATACGAAAACAGTGTCGCAAAGCTAAAGAACAGTAGCTGTTAGACAGGTATACAGAAATGGAGGAATTGGAAGAAAACCATTACCACTTTAACATACAAAAATTCATTAAAGAAGTCAGGTCATAAAAAACCTTGCAATAAATTAATTACTGATCCCAAAGATCTACTTCAACATTGGAGAAACTACATACAGCAACTATACTCAGACAACACTAGAAGAAACTCTGAAACTGTATATAAAAGTGAACTCTCCCCCAAAATATTGAAGTCAGAAGTTGTAAGGGTAATCAAACAGAGCAAATGGGGAAAAGTACAAGGCCCAGACGACATATACATAGAAGTTCTAACAATGTTGAGTGAAGACAATATAGACGCCTTGGTAGATCTTTTTAATGACATTTATGGGTCCGGTGAAATACCACAGGACTGGCTTTAATCAACCTTTACACCAATCCCAAAAAAGTCAAACGCTAATAGTTGCGACCAATTCCTAATGATCAGCTTATTGAGTCAGGTCTTAAAACTCTTCTTACAGATAATTCACACAACAGATGTGAAAGAGACATTGGACCCACACAGTTCGATTTCAGACAAGGATTTGGTACAAGAGAAGCACTTTATAGTTTAACTGTCCTACTTCAGAAATGCGGAGATCAGCAAAAATATGTCTTCCTATGCTTTATACATTACCATAAAACGTTCGATTGTGTTAATCATTCAGAATTAGTAAGATTGCTCCAGGAACGTTCGATAGATCAGAATGACCTTAAAATCATAAAGAACTTTTATATGAATCAAGTGGCATCTGTGAGAGTAAGACTGGAATCTACATCATATTTCTCAATCGAAAAAGGTGTATGACAGGGTTGTGTTCTGTTACCCCTCCTTTTTAATCTTTACTCTGAAAGGATTTTCGATAGAGCCTTAACCTCAATGCCTATGCACTCTTTAGAGATACACAACATTGAGAGGAGTATGCCAGAATTGTCGCCAACATTCACTAATTGGATAGGGCACCATAAGAAGAAGATACCTACATATTTAAGTTTTATTGAATTTAATTTTTTTAATTATTTATTATTTAACATATTATTTGGTTTATATAATAATATTATATAATATTATAAATAATATTATTAGTTTTTGGGCTGAATTTGACAGGTTTGTCATAAGTAAATAACGTATGCTTTTAACAGGTGGCATTAGGAATACACATAACAATTTCTTGAGATTTTTTTTAAATATAAAAAATTAATAAATAATAAAATTGCTTTATTTAATTTTAAATTTATTACTTAAATTTTAAAAATACAAAAACATAATATGAAGCTCCCCGCTAATCTACAGTACCGCATACTGTTCCACTGTTTTTTGGTAATTTCTCTGGTTTGTAAGTTTTTGTAAAACAGGGTTATATCCAAAATACATCAAAACAAGCCGTTAGAAATAAAAAAAGTAAACAAATCACAAAGAATAACGGAAAAAACGATTGTAGATAGGAGAAAATCAAAAATGATAAACAATTTCGAAGTTGTTACTATATTTAATTAATTTTTTCGAAAATAAAAGATAATTAATAATAAAAGGTTGTGAGAAAAAGTTAAAGTGATCACATCAAAAACAAATATATACCAAAAGTAATTTGCTTCATGTTAGAATAGGAAAAGAAGAATTTAAAAATTAAAAAAAAAAAACAAATAATAAAAAATATCTTTAGTATTATTTGACGATACTTTTAACACTATTGAAAATAGAAAATTATGGTAAAAAGGCAATTTTGTGTCATGATTATTAAAATATACATTCAAAACTTACGCAAATGCTTGGGACCAGCCGCTCCATCATTTCCAACAATTAGCCCGAAGATCGAAACTGTGATCAAGGTTGCCCACATTGTTATTCGGTTATTTTTACAGAACGAGATCTTGAACTACTGAATGCAGAATTATCGAAATCCTTTATATATCCTCCTTCCTCATAGATAATATACAGGGTTATTCTCCTTTTCATCGACCATATCAACAAAAAACTTCGGATAAAGTGATATTATCTAATAATATATTGAATGGACGAAGGTAACCCATATAGTTTATAAAAAATAAATTATGGATATGGAAGTAGAAGTTTAAAAAAAATTAAAATATCATCTAGTGATAGAATTACAAATAACGAAGTACTAGGGAGGGTTGGTAAAGAAACCGAACTAATCACCACTATACAAACCAGAAAAGTGGAATACCTAGGCCACATGATGAGGGGACCAAGATATGAAATTTTGAGACTTATAATACAGGAAAAGATTCAAGGAAAATCTGTTGGTCGAAGGCAGAGCTCATGGTTGAAGAATCTACGTGATTGGAATCAATGCAGATCGATTGATTTGTTTAGAGCAGCAAGTTCAAAAATACAAATAGCCATTATGATTATATTTTTTCCGTCCATTAACATCAATTTTGCTTTTTTTGTACTTTTATGCTTAAGTCAAACAACTTGAGGTTATTAAGACATATAAAATAGTGGCAATATGATAAACAAATAAAAGAATGACATGGTTTTGTACATACTTACGACAAATCAAAGGTGGAAAAGGGAAGCATTTTTGAAGTAAAATACGTAAACTAATTTTCGAAACCAAATTCAGATTTTTGCCTTAATCTGTGTCTTCTAAGAATTGCAAGGCAAAACTGACGTTGATAAAGATGTTATTAGAGACATGGGGAATCTAAAATTTGCATTTCATGTCATATCTCCCCAAGCTAAATAAAATTCGCCAATTCGCAAATCCCAATTCCCATAAGCAAAAATCCTTAGTGAATTGGTTTCTAGTACTCGTTCAGACCGAATAGAAACGTTAAGACGAGTAAGAATGGGATGGGCAGAGTTCGGCAAACCTTCTTACGTTCTAAAAGTCAAACAATCCCTCTATACTTACGAAGCAAGGTTTATAACTCCTGTATAATACCGGTGCTCACCTACGGAGCACAGACATGGACATTTACACAGGCCAATTTTAATAGGATAAGAAAGGCACAAAGAGCGATGGAGAGACAAATGTTGGGTGTATCACTTAGATATAGAAAACGTAACCAGTGGATCAGAACCAGAACAAAGACAGTAGACGCGATAGAACAAGCAGCAAAACTGAAATGGAAATGGGCTGGACACAATGAACGTCTCCAAGACGGACGATGGAACAATGCGTGAAAGTGGCGTCCATACAACGCAAAGAGATCAAGAGGCAGATCACAGATAGGGAAAGATGGAGAGAACTGGGGGAGACCTATATCCAACAATGGAAGGATAGAGAATAGGTTAAAAAAAAACTCGTTCAGAGTAATTGGAGTAAAAAGGAAAAGACAGTTAAGATTTAATTTCACGTATAGTGCCTCTATGTAGCCGGTTATATGTTTTTCGGCCTGATAGACCTCATCAGAACCGCAATTCATAGTCGCTCTGAACGTGAAAATAAATTTCTTCTATCTTAGGAAGCAACTCTAACATGGCTTCGAATAGACGCAAATAGCGACATCTGATATTAAAATCCGTAAACTAATTTTTGAAACCAAATTCAGATTGTGAATGATGACGTGGAATGCAAATTTGAGATTTCCAATATCTCTAATAACATCTTTATCAACGTCTGTTTTGCCTTGCAATTTTTAGAAGGCACAAATTAAAGCAAAAATCTGAATTATTTGCGTCCATTCGAAGCCATATTAGAGTTCCTTCCTAGGAACTCTAATATGGCTAGTATGGCTATGGAAAGAAACAAAGTGAACAAAGAAACTGTCTCTGCAACAGATATTTGCGGTAAAGGCCATGGATTTTCACAAACCTCATTCACGTTCTGTGTAGCTCTTACTTTTCTGACAATGTAATCAGTAATTAAATTTTGCAATGATAATGCTAGTAATTTTTTATGCAGCTGACGATATTCTGACATGCAGTTCTGTAGCTCACATTATTCAGAATTGGGGTCATTAATAAGAAAATGATTTTCTTATTTACTGCAAATTTGAAGACCTTCTCGAATTAATTTGGCAGTAAGGGGGGTTGATTTTTCTTCCTCATCATTATCATTTTCTAGACTCATGACGCCATCTAAAGTTAGATATAAGGTTTAATTAATTATATCATGGTTACGGTTTAATGCATTATCTACAAGCAATTCATCTATATCATCGTAGCGGAAACCATAGTGGTATTAACACCATCTCCGACAATTTTATGTACGAAATTAATTATTTCATCTGATAGTGACAATGTTTAAATGCTTGCCTGCTTGTTACATATGCTGGTCAAACCTTTTTCCAACTAGGCATTTAAAGTTCTTGGTCTCATTTGAGCGGAAGCAGATGCTAGATGAATCAAACAATCAAAAATAGAAAATTGCTTCCACGCGTCTTTTACTGTTAAGGGCTCATTTTTTAGTTTACTCACGATGGATTTGTTAGTTGCCTTTATGTTATTATTTTTAAAGATTTTAATTATGCCTTGATCTATTGGCTGCATAAGGCGTGCTAAATTGGACGGAAGAAATACTATTTGAAGGTTTGGATGTTCTAAGTGTGGATGACCTGCTGTATTGTCAATAATTAATAAAACTTTAAAATCAAGGAATGTTTCTTTCATATAGGATTCTACTTCTGCCACGAAGCAATTATTGAACCATTCTGTAAACATAGCTGCTGTTACTCAGGCTTTTTTGCTAGCCATCCAAATCACTGGCAGTTGTTTTAAATCTTTGCCTTTTAAAACACGTGGTCTAAGGTTTTTATTTATTAAGATCTTACTCGATCTTTTTATGTCCATTTGCAATTTTTTCATCTTTTGTAGTAGATGTATGGTTAGATATTTTTTTCCAATACAGTCCCGATTCATATGCGTTAAATACTTGATCGGCCCAACAGTCCCTATTTTCTATAATTTTCGCTAACTTCCGTGAAAATATTTTTGCTGCTGCTTGATCTGCTGTAGCACTCTCTCCTGCAATATTAATATAATAAAGTGCATTTCTTTTTATAAACCTGATTAGCCATCCTTTGCTAGCTGAAAATTCTTTACCAGCTTAAGAAGTAGAAGTTGGTGGCTTTGACTGTTTCATTAACTCATAAAGTATTAAATAACCACTTACAGGAATTCTTCTTTGAATTAATTCCTAAATCCAAATTGTGATAGCTCTTTTTGTTTTTTCTAATAATACATCTCTTCAGTTAGATGAAAATTTGGCGTTTAATTCTGTACCAGAAATTATAAATTTTCTTATAGCCACCTCGTTTAATTTTTTCACATGCGAAAAATCATGTCTTTTTTGCTGTATTTTTAACTATCCTTATATCACAATTTTACAATCATTATCTTAGACCAACCCTTAATAACCCTTCCCACTTACACTTTAACCCCCCTCCATTACAAATACAGACAGTTTCAAGATAGCAAAGAAGAAAGACTCCCTCTTGATGATTGGCTGCCGCTAAGGACAGACCATTCTCTCTCTTCTTGGTTTGGCCACCGCTAGGGCCAGACGTCCTCTCTCTTGATCTGACTACCGCCAAGGCAAGTCGTGCCTTTTTGGATTCTCGGCTACCGCTAAAGACAGTCATTCTGTCTCTCTCTTCGATTATCAAGAAGAGCAGCATCTATCTTGGCTGCAAAATATGGTTCAGCTTGCCGAATCTTGCCCAAGTCAGTCTTATACGACGGAGAAGCTCAACGGTTTAGTTATCTTTTTCTATGCGGATCTCATGACCTAGGTATTTATAGGCCATTACCTGGTCGATGGATCTTGTTCCTACTCATATATCTTCGCTGACTACAAGATTTGTCATCATCTGGGTTTTAGATATATGTATTTTCAATCTCCCTTCTAACGAGGAAAGGTAGAGCTGATTTAAAAGTTCTTTGGTCTCATCTATCATATCAGCTATTAGTACAATATCATCTGCAAACCTTAGATGGCTTAGCTTTTCTCCGTTTATGTTTATACCCTTGTCGGTCAGTTTTGCCCTTTTACATATATTCCAAAAGCGTAGTGAACAGTTTCGGCGATATGGTGTCACCCTGGTGTACTTCACGTTGAATCGGGAATTTCTGGGTTTGACGATCACCCACTCTAAAACTGGCTGTTGCGTTTTGGTATATGTGTTTAATTATATTTATATACCGATAGTCAATTCGGAATTCGTAAACTAATATACAAATCTTATATTTGTGGGCCCAAAAATACACACCAGACATTACCTTTTACTTCCACTTTCATGACCTGTTGATTTTTTAATAACAGATACTCATATACTATCATTAACTTCTCCTTTGATTAATAGCATACCAAAAATTTATTTCGCTTAATAATTATCACAAAAATAAGACCATCAGCCAAATTATGAGATAATAATTCCTAGACCTGGTCAGCACAAACTCATATGGCGAGATTCTCTACACAAATATATCTAAAACTGAGACAGGTGTCGGACATATGGCGAGATTCTCTACAAAAATATATCTAAAACTGAGACAGGTGTCGGACATTCTGTAACAACTTCAAATAGTATCGTTCAGAAGCTCTATCTTCCAAAATTCACCTCTTTCCATACAAGAGAGCTGTACGCCATTCTACAAGCATTAAAAGGCTTATCTAATCAAACTAAAGCCAAGAACATTGCAATATATAAAGATTTGATGTCCTCCATCGACTTGATATAAAATATATATTCCGAACATCCATTACTTCATGCCATACATGAAGCAATATACTGTCTCACTTCTTCTGGTAGAAATATAACATTAATCTGGATTCCTTCACACGTTGGCATCTTAGGTAATGGGATTGGTGATACTGCTGCAAAAGAAGCAATTGCAACCAAATCAGACATCAAATCTGTTTAACTAGAAATAGATCTAAAACCACCTTTTAGGTCCTAAATTAAAC